AAAACCTGCTGCTCGCACAAACTCTTTGACCATCTTGCTTGTACAAAGTCAAGACGGTCCCCATTATCGGAAGAATCGATGCCTCGCGCGATGGCCCAGCGCAGCATTGTTGCTTTACTCTCGTTTCGAGGGTGCCCATGCGAATCAGAAGAACAGCTTGATTTCGATGTCTTTCGTTTTGACACATTTGTTTCCCAAATGCACCGAGAGCCATGTGCAGGCTTTGTGCATCTTCAATTCCGTCTGTACTGGCTTCATAAACACACAGCTGCCTGCAACGTCGGCTTTGCTAATGCGCACTATGGTCTTGAAAAATTCGACACCGAAAATCGACATGCAATTCGACTGACTTGCTCTTGCCACTTGTCGAACTGGTGGGTTCTTCGGCAGAGCCTCGATTTGAGGCTAGGCTACACACCTTATCAATGCCTATACCTTGTCTTCAATTAATATGAGTATAATATGAGGTTTGAGTTACTTGGACGGCTCGTCAGCTTCCAGCACTAAGGTTCTATGCAGGAGACAGTTGACCTTGTGGCGCGCGGCCGCAAAAGACAAATGAGAGCTCGCAACACACTCTAAGGAACAACTGTTTGCGGGTACTTTTCCTTTCCTCTTTCCTCTTGGTTCACAGGCTCTGATTGAAATGTCGTTCAACGAAGCTTGCTTCAACATGTGACAGATGTGGTCTTAGCATCTGCCTTTAAGGTGATATCATTGTATCTGACATTGCAAGATCAATAGTTGGTTGCTTCGTTGGAGTCAGCATAAATTTTTGTGTGGTCCGGGTGCCCAGTTTGTATTCAATAGGATTTAGCGAGCCCAAGCTCTGAATTTGATTTCCCTCCCCCTGGACAGCATCGGCCGAGACGACGGAGCAGGACTGGTAACCGGCTTCCCAGACAGAAAACGCTTTATTTCGGTGAAGTAAGCTGTTTTCGAGGGTGTAGGCTTCTAGATACTCATTTTGCTCCTGCAGAATCGAGAGAGAAGGGTCTGGGGCGCAACTTGGGCGACAAGAAATTTCGAAAGAATTTTTCTTATTTTGATAGCGGCTGGTTTCGTCAGAAAATTTAATCCGGGATGGATCAGGATAAGAGGATATATATTTAATTCTACATGCCGGATACGAAATATGATTAGAAATTATATCATTTTAATTTCTAAGAAAATATAAAATTCTTTTTATAAGAAATTTGAATATTTATTCTCTGAGATATTATATTTTTCTCTCTTCTTAAGAAATTATTTATTTTAATATTATTATCTTATATTTCTAGATAATTTATACCTATATTCAAGATAGTATATCGAAAATTAATAGAAATATAATTATTCTAAAAATTTCATAATTCGTATTCTTAGAATGTAATATATTCTTGAAATTTTTTAAATTTATTTTAAAAGTTAAATAGAAAGGTTCGTATTTAAGAAACTTAAATATCTCAGGTTTAGGATAAATATATTCTTGCCTCTAGATATAAATTTATTCGAGATTCGGAGTTCGTTTCTTCGAAATAAGAATTTCTGAATCTCGAAGATTGAATTCTTAATATTTGAGAAATAAAATAGAGAAAGAATAATAAAAATTACTTAGAATCTAAAATGGGGGTTTCAGAAAATAGGGGACTCTAATATAGCACCCTAAATAGTAGGATCCTTATTATAAGGACCCCCCAAAATAAGGTACCCCTTATTTTCGGAAACTCCTAAATAAATTAAAATTAAATTAATAGGTTTAATATAAAATTCTTATTATTCTTTTCTAAATAAAAGGATTAAATATTTTTTATATGAATTATTTGTAGCTTATGTAAATGGAAGAAATTAATCTCAGAAATATAAGATAAAAGAATATTATATATTTTAGAACGAAACTTATTATTGCCAATAATAGACGGCTAATGATCGAGAATCACGAATTCTGATCCGAAACCTCTAAATGCCGAATTCAGAGTTCTGAATCTTTCGAATCGATTGAACTTTTAATTTCGAATCTAGAACCAGAATCTTGAATACGAACCCCGTAGAATTCGGATTCGAGGCTCGAAATTCGATGAAAAATACAAATCTTTTTTATATGTTGCTTTATGATATTTTTAATCTTCTTATCTATTCTTTGCATCTATTCTACGATAAGTCTTATGAATTTATGCTTATGTTTTTTTGTAATATTTAAATTTTCGATTATTATTATTTCGGGATTCTCGATAAGATTCCTTATTTCTAAAAATTCAATAATATCTGTCTCAAATTCAGATAATAATTTATATGATTTAAATATCTTCGCCTTGTGCCGGGGCCGGAGTCTCGATCTATTCTCGTCCGTTATTTCATGCCTAGTCTACCGATAATTTCGACCCTCGTCTATCACTCCACGACACGCTCCCTACGATACTCATTCCCCCACTCCACGACACTTTCCATGACCCATACACCCTCGCCCACCACTCTGCGACACTCTTCCACATACCATTCCGCTCTGGCCCAAATATCTATGGCCTCGTCCACCATTCTATGATATTCCCTAGAATATATTTGTCCTCACCCAGAATATAGAATCGGTCGAAATTTTTGAGCGATAGATATAGGAAATCCTTAAATTATCTTATCATATTCTTCTCATCTTTTATTCTTTTCTATTCGAGAGATATAATAAAGAATATATTTTAAAATAAATCGAAAATAATAAGATATGAAAAGAAATTTCTAGAATCGCCGATATCTTCTATTTCAATTTATTTTTTTTATATAAGAAATAGAAAGAAATAGATTATCGCTCTGAAAATTCCATAGTAGTAGAGTGGTTCCATTGCTTCTAGCAGCGGAGTAAAACGATTATATTGAATTCTTCAGTAGCAGGGAAAGATGATTCTATTGAATTTTATGATCGTGATAATTAATTAATATCATAAGATTAAAAAATTATATATAAATATATATAGAGAAAATTTATGAATATTGAAGAAATTAAGAATCTCTTTGAATCTGCCAGCATATGGCATATGAGCACGAATTAGAAAGATAATATATATATATATATGAAATCTTAATATATAGATTACATGAGCATTCCTAGAAAATATTCTAATTTTTATGATATCTAGCATGCCTGACCAAAATATCAGAAATCATATTATCGGGAGCATATCCTTCTAAAATCATCAAAATTCTGAAGTTTCAATATCGTGAGATTTCTTAAAGCTACCAAAATTTCCGAAATTTTAATATCGAGAAAGAGAAGTGCTCCCGATATTTTCCGAACTTTTAGTTCCACGAGACACCAATACGATAGCAATTTATTAGAAAATTATTTCCTGGAATCTTCGTTACAAATCAATAAAAAAGAAATCTCGTAATATATTTCTGTAATATAAATATCTTCCAGAAAAATTCTAAAAGAAATTTATAAAGATTATAATTTCTTATGGAGATTATTTTTGAAGATCAGCAAAAGAGCTTAAATATATGCTTTGTTGGAGTTGGAGAGCTAGAAGGCCAGAACGATTTTCGATTGGAAGGTTGGAAGGTCGAGGGGATTGGAGGAGGGTTGGAAAGCTGCCTGGAGGATCCGAAGGTTGGAAGAGAAGGTGAGATTAGAAGGTAAGAAATTTGAAAAAGAAGAACAGAAAGAAAATTGGAGATTTGGAAAATTAGAAAGCTGGATGCGGAAAAATTTACGAATAGAAAATTAAATTATTATTTCGAAAATTAGAAGATGGCAAGAAATTAAAGATTTCGAGAAGCAGAAAAATAGAAGACTAAAAATTTGAAAAACTACAAAATTACAAGGCTCAAAAATTAGATGGCTAGAAATTTGAATTATAAGAAAATGACAGATTTTCAAATTTCTAAATTTATTTCGATTAAAATATGTAGAAAATATCCGTATAATAATCTTATATTTAAATCAAATTCGATCATTAATAAATATATTCTCTTTTTATATATTCTAGATATATTTAAAAAAATTCTATTTTTCGAAATAAAATATTATATAAAAATGTTTAAATATCTATTATAATCTCTTAAACGCTGCAGGTGGGGTGAGGGCGGTAGGCGATGGGGGAGTGAGGTCGGTGTGGGTGGTAGGGGCACTGTGGGCACGGGGGACCTCTTAGGAAAAAGTCAGCGTAGGCAAATGGGGGCGTGAGGGGGTCGGTGGGAGCAGTGGGGGCGGCGAGGGTTTGGGCATGAAATCTATACGGGTCAGTGTAGGAATCACGGTGGAGAGCGGTGAGGGCGGTGGGGGGGCGGGGGGAGCGGCAGGGTTTGGGGCATGTATTGGAGCCCTTAAAATCTATGTTTCCAGTCAGTGTGGAGCTGGGTGGGGGCGGTGAGGGCGGTGGGGGCGGTCGGGGCGGTGAGGGCGGCGGGGGTTGGCGCCCTTACAATCTATACTTCCAAGGACGGGGCTAAGGGGGGTCAGTGTAGGAGGCAGGGTGGGGGGTGAGATCGCCCTTAAAATCTTAACTTCCAAGGAGGGGCTAGGGGGCTCAGTGCAGGAGGCAGGTGGGGGCGGTGAGGGCGGTGGGGGCGGTGGGGGCTGGGGCGGTGGGGGGGGTGGGGGCGGTGAGGGCGGTGAGGGCGGCAGGGGTTTGGGCGTGTGCTGGGGCCCTTGTTCGATCTGTGCTTCCCAGGTAGAGGCTAGGATAGGCTAGGGGGGACATTGTAGGAGGCAGGAGCCCTTAAAATCTATACTTCCAAGGTGGGGGCTTGGGGGGTCAGTGTAGGAGGCAGGGTGGGGGGTGAGGTCGGTGTGGGGGCTGGCACTGTGGGCACTGGGGGCGGTGGTGTGGTCTTAAGGAAAGTAGGGAATGCGACGACAATGGGTCTTCACAGACGCCGCCCCCGGCAGGGGTCGGCGGATTCTTATAGAAAAAACATGTACTCATAGTCTCGCACCCGATGACCCTAGTCTGTCATTAGGAACCCATCCTGAATCTTTTCAGGGTTTTTTAGTTTTCGCATCGATTCGGCAAGATCAGTCTGACCGGCGATCACAAGTAAAAGTCTTGTCGCACCTTCTGTTGCAAATCCTTAATGCCCGCGCAAAAACCCACCATTGTCACAAGTATATAGGTGGTTCTGAAGAGCTGGGAGCCAGGCTTCTGCAGCAAAAGCGGAGAGCGGAACCACTTGACCACGTGTGCAAAGCCGCCCGTACAAGTCCTTAGGATGACCGGCTCAACGGCAAGGAACGCAGGCTTGTTGTCCAGAGACTCAACTTGACTTGGGACCTCAGCCACTTCAACACCAGGGCACCCGGTGAAAGCGCAAGAGATCCAACATGGGTTGCCCCGTATGGATCCCACCTGAACCAATCATTGGGAACATGTACTTGTGAAATCAGAAACAGTAGCAGAAGCAGCAGCAGCAGACGGCTGCACTCAAAATAACGATGTTTCAATAACTGAGCTCAATGACATGGCATGTTGGGCACTGGCAGGGTCGGCGAATATGCACAAATTTCCTGTACCCAAAAAGTGCTGAGGGTTCTGAGCCTGGCAAAGAACCGACCCTTCTTTAGAACGGTTTCGACCTTTGAGCTTCCGCCCTAAACAGCTCACCAGACCTAAATCCATTGTTGAAGCGAAGCAACTTCTGCCAGCTTGCGTTTGGCTTCGTCAGGAGATGCATGAGCACTAGTATCACTAGTGCAGCTCGCAAGAAATTGTATGCTGAATCAAGCACAAGCCTCGTCGCCCAGTCCCCTGCCCGTCCAGGCCTTCAGCTTGAACAGCAGCTGGATACAAATAAGCCTGCAATGCTGCGATTGCAGAAGAACAGAATCTGGACTCCACCAGAGCATGCAAGCCGCCAAGCTCTCGTCACACCACGGTGGCTTCTCCAACACGGCGCCACTTCGGGGCCGCAGAAAGTAAGGTACGGAAACGCCTGGCGCAACATGCGGCAGCCACACAGCCTCCATTCTACCATTGTCTGCCGAGTGTCGTGCTCGTCCTTGCTTAAGGCGGCCAGCCGATACACCATGTACCAGTCCAGTGTAAGCTGCCGCAGTGGCAAGGACTAGAGCAGTACCGGCAAACACGAGCACATCTCCTGTGCATTGCCGACATACAGGATATTTCGCAGAATGTGAAGTTGCAAAGTCGTCATAACTGTCATAACTGTCGCAGATCTGCCGTACTTTTTGACAAGCCCACTGCTACGACTGCGCCCGAAGTATTCTAGCCATACGGGAATAGTCCTGCTTTGAAACGGTTCCAACATGTTTCAACTTTCAACCATGCCACGGTCTGGGTCCAAAAGCTCTTCCAGAAAAGCAGTCTCGCCGATTGCATCATGAAAGGGAGAAGCCATCCTTTGAAGATCGCTGACAAGTGGAGGACGTCACAGAAACAGAGACAAGCCAAACAATCTGCTGCAACGAACCACATCACTCTCGGGGAGCACTATCACACAACTCAGTGTCAGAGCCGGCCACGACCCTGCAGGTGCAACCGTCAGCAATCCCAGATCCAGGTGCCAGCAAGGTCCAGCTCCTCAGTCCGCGCTGTCACAAATCGTAGATCTCTCGGCATGACACATCCTTCCATGTCAGGTCTTCACACTCTTTAACCAGTTCATTCTTACGAGCTCCGGTTCGTAGGAACATCTGCTGCACAACCACGCAGCCCAAAAGAGGACTAGGGGTAGGCAGGCGGACCTGCAGTTTCTGCGGGCCCAGCGAACGGCTATGCGGTGATGCAAGGCTGGCCTCGAGGCTCGTGAGGTGCCTGTCTCTACAGAGGAAGTAGAGAGCCCGAAGGCTCCGCTACCATAAACCTCTTTTGCCCACAATGCTTGAGGGCTTCGGTAGTCGATGCAGCAGCAATGCTTACATCTGCACTGAACATCCTGGCGTATGCCACAAATTCAGACAGCCGATAACAGTGGCAAAAATCAGAATTCCAGCCCAGGTGTCATGGAAACATGTGTGTGCAGTTTGAGCATCCAGCGGGGAATCGGCAAACGACGAGCTGCGCAAGCTGGAGAAGGACGGAACAAAGAGACAAAGATAAGACAGTGACAAGGCCCACCGTCTAGCTTGAGAAGGTTGAACATCAAAACCCAGTGATATAGTTTGAGATCTTGACGATAAAGATGTTGTTTAGATGTTCAGCCAAGCTCGAGCCACACCAAAACATACAATCTTGACAACTACGAGTATATCTTGTGTTTCGGTGAACTGGACCAAGCATCCGTCCTGCCCACCATAGATATTTGCTCGCATGATGCTTGGCTCCTCCGAGAACATGCATATCCAAACGCTGCTTGGAGTCTGCCGGCTCTAAATACGTTTAGCAGAACATGGTGGCTTGCAGGACAGCGCTCCTTTGCGCGATTTAGAGGCTCTGGGCTGTCTGCCACGAGGCTTAGCAGCTCTGGCAATTGTTCATGCTGCGCCACTGCCGTCAGGCACGTCAGAGACAGTGCATGCAAATCTGCGGCCAGTGCCAGGGTTGCGTCGGCTCCTGGATCTGCGAGTGCTCCACTGACAGCTGGTGCGATATCCAATCTTTGAACGGTTCTCGGAAAGTCAACCCGTTGGTATCGCACGAGGCCATCATCAGAAGAAAGGCCAAAGTCTGCAAGATCCGGATCTGTCTCTGCCAAACCCTCCAACCAGGCAAGGGCTTCCTTCCTCCTCGCACAGGAGCACAGCACTAAGCAACCTAAGGAAACGCCAAAGCACTGCCAAGGCACCTGCTCAGGTCCGACTGGACGATTGCAAAACCGCGATGCTTCAACTCTTGGCAGAACTCCGCTTGGCGGGGAATCAAATCAGCAGCTGCCACCTTTCAGTGCCAACGATTATCCCGTCATCACGACTTCCGTCAGCAAAACTTTCGTGCTCCTACCACTCCATGTCCACAGCCCCATGGTCCGACTGATCACACATGATTAAACACCGGTCACCGGATGTTGATTGGCCCGCTCAGAGTTTACATGCTTGCCCTTCACATGGCCAAGCTACACAGAAGACACCTTATGACATAAGGTCTGGTGAAGTGGCCCGCCGATAGTTGCGAATCAGGTCGCGCAGGCACCCGTGGTGGAGATGAGAACCCCCCACACGCTCCCCGCCGCACAACGGGCATTCTGCAACAATCTTCTTCCAATCCGTGTGCCATCTGTTCATCAAGACACAGGTCTTCAGAAGGCCAATAATGTAGTGAATATGAGTGAACCTAGCGATAGGATTCACATTCCGATCAGGTTGATTTTCTGAGACATAGTTCTTGATCTGTATGCACAGCTTCAGATGCTAACGATAGTGTTGTGCACACCGAACTTCATTTCTGCTCGCCGACGATAGCAGCTTCAACCGAACCAATGAGACATCGGAGGCCCGGAGGCGGCTCTACGTTGGACACTACTCGCAAGTGCATGTAAGTGCAAGCTTCCCTTAATGCCCCGCATCCCCTGAACCCTAAACCCTAAACCCTAAACCCTAAAACCCTAAAACCCAGGACCTTGCGGCTCGTGCCGACAGACATCCCACCAAGTAACAGTTTCAGCACTGGCAGACCATTACGCCCGGATCAAATTGCCCGAGCATGAACAGCAAAGCTAGAGCTGCCGGACTGGACAAACTGAGAAAACTGTAACCTGAACTACAAAGTCCAGCCGTCATTGCGATATTGATGGGATACTATCGCAGCACCCATTTATGAATTCGTACAGAAGTGCCAGTGGGGAACACTGCTTTGAGCCCGTGCGTGGCACACCGTTTCGGCTGGATATGTCGAGCGTCTTTGTTTCTTGACTTCAATGCGAGTCGAGCTCCTTTTTGGAAAGCTACTTGCTCGTGGCATCGGTGCATGATGATGCATACATGTCCGATTACAATTTGAGCGTCCGCACCTTCTTGGGGACTCTGCCCACTGCTGCAAAGCAATCACCAAGATACAGGAAGTGTGCAGCGAAGGCAGCTGTGCAAATTGCAGCCTCAGCGACATGGAAAAACCAAGCACCATGGCAACAAGCAAGTCGGCACATCAACATTTCGCATACATAACAGGCCATTCAGTTGAGCGGCGACTCGCCGCGCATGGCAGCAGACCCAAGCAGAGGGCATATAATCCAGCAGTCACGGAACTGCTGCTATTCTTAGGGTGCAGCCCTAGTTAAACGAGTTCAGTATGAGTTGTCCAGACAAGGCTTCCCGATTCGAGCCTACATGCTCTGTGAAGGCAGCAGCTGGCGTATGCAGGCAAGGCAGGCAAGGCAGGCAAGTCCGAGGAAGCGGATGCTTTGCGCATGCTCATCGCTGCTAGTCGCTCTGTGAGACACTGGAGGGGTGGCGAATCTCACGTGTTGTGACATCCGACCCTGGCCCTAAAGGATGCCGCTCAACGAGGCAGCCTTAGGTGTCTCGGCCACTGGCCCTCTTCCGCTCTTGGCATCTCTTGGCTTTGGCTTCGCCGGGGACAACAAGCTGTCGTTACAGCAGAGAGAGACAGGGAAACCTCATCCGAAAGCGCGCCGAGGTCGCACAGAATCTCTCAGCTAACGAAACATGCAAGGCTCTGGGGCACAAAGAGAAGCGCACAACACTCCGATGTCCAAGGAAGACGCAGACAGACTGTATGCGCCAAGCGATGCACGGAATACTTCTAACAACACCCTTTCAGAACGATGGCTGCCAGGCCACATGATGTGCCAAAATCAAATTCTTCCTAAAGCCTTCCAGCTAGGACTGCTAAGGAACTCTTCTAATACCGTCTGTTTGCAGTCCTGGCTTGGCAACAAATGAACAAGCTCCAGACGTTGCTAGCCATTCTGCCAAGAGCTTGATCTGCTCTGCACCTGCAAAGGTCAAACTTCCATGTTCAAGGTCCGAAGGTGCTTCCACAATAGCAAGTCAGCCTTGGCTTACCACCAGCTCGTGCTTAACCAACGACTGGACGTCGGGTCGCCTGCAGAGCGTTTGGATTTGTTTCTCAGTTTTGCTCGTGTAGACTTCAAAGAATGATTGCGATCATTCTCTGCTCCAAGGGGTGCACGCTGTGTCGTCGCGCTTCAAGCACGAAGCGACAAAGCCGCACAGCGCAGCAGGAAACGCTTTGGTGTCCAATCGTGGCCTCAGCATCACCGATGGACAAGCCTAGCCTGCCAGATTGGCAAACTTGACAGCGACCACTCACCCTGGCTGGCACGGCATCCACTTCCACACCGGCCCATGGACTGAACCCAAGGGTAGAAGGGTAGACTAACGAGTGCCGACGCTAAGTTCCACACTCGGGCTGCGCGCACAGGCACTTAGCTCAAGCAACAAAGTGCATGCTGGAACTACAGACATGCGCTGACAGATGTGTCCACATAGGTACTGAGGCTACACACCTCATACAAGTCAAGAAAGTTCTTCGCCTTGTATGGGTACCTGCTAATTCAACGCATGCTGGCAACCGCACTGCGAAGCTCGGAACAAGCCCTGACATGACTGACCGTACCGTGCTGTGGTCTCAGCCACATCGGACATAACCAATTGGCACTCCTGGCCTGTAGAAACAGCCAGACAAAGTTGTCAAAGGCGAGGCGTTGAAGCTCGCCCTTGTTGGCACTGCGTGTGAACCTTCCTTCCTTCCTTCCTTCCTTCCTGCCTGCCTGCCTGCCTGCCTTCCTTCCTTCCTCTCACATTCGGCGCAAACAGGTCCAAGTTCACTCGCCGCCATCATTGAAGTTCTGGGCCAAAACCAATCTGAATTTTCTGCCACTGACCTCTTCCTGGAGCCACTACTACTTCGTGGAAACTAGCCGAAACGATGGAGGAGCTGCACCGGGACTGAACACGACATGAATGAAAGTGTGTGCAGGCAACTTCTGTTCTGGATGCAGTTGACATCTGTTGAACTGTGGTGCCCCTTATGGGGTCGACGGGTGCTCAAAGAGAAATCCTCTGTGAACCATTAGAGAGAGAGCCTCTAGATGAAGAAATACAGTGCGGCATTTCCGAGACATCACATCTCCTTCAACAGTTTGTAGACTCGCATATATGCCTTCATCGATAATACAATGTTTGCGCAAGGCATCTCGGCACCATCTGGATTGTAACGAACACCAACAAGCGCACGGATCAATCGCAATACTAACACACAGGAACAATCGTGCCTACCGTTGTATAACCCGTTACAAGCAACTGACTCAACGGGGTTGGCCCCGACAGCTCGGATTAGCTCCATGTATGTTTGCTCAGCTCGGCTGTCAAAAAACTCTTTTTCGCTGCTCCCCATCAACACTGCACTCAGAATCATCAGCCATCGCCGAGTTTGGCCTCGGCAGCAGAAGAGGTCAAGCAAGGATTAAGCTTGCCAATGGTTTGAGAATGCAGGCTCCCGGAGCGCACATTTTTTTGGTCAGAGAACACGCCGACCTTCCCGAGCCCCCCGAATAATCCAGGGACTCAAGACCAAGGGAGTTTGTGGGAGCATCTTGCATTCCTATCTCTTTTTCTCTCTCTCTATCTCTCTCTAAGTTTAAACCGGAATAATTACCTTC